TTTAGTTCATTTCCGCCAACTTATTATCTCTTAAAGATTTATTTATTTTCCACCCCTTCTTCTCCTTCTAATATATTAAAAACATATATTAGTATAAAATAAAAAATTACATTACATACCTATGAATACACCGGGCATTACGCATTTACACGGACCAAAAGACTAATAATTCATTCAATAACATAAATGTGAATAGAGTAAAACTTCGACCAACTTGTCTCCTCTCATTTCTACCCTTAATTTGTTGGATTCTATTTTAAAATCGAAATTAATTGTTAAATCAACTAGGAGTATAAAAAATTTAAGGTTCAGCTAAGTCAACTAGTAAAGAGATTCGGCGAAGCGGAATCAATTGTCCTTTGTACTTTTGGTACCTAGGTAAGCCACCCTCTTCTTATTTCTTACGTGCGGCGTAACGTTATTCATTTTTTATTTATTTATTTATAATTTTTATCTACTTAATCAACACTCTTCTAAGTTCTGACTTATTAAACCCTTCAATTAATCACCCTTTAATTTTATTTTATTTTTTTTGACGAGTGGGTTGCATGATGATCCAATGTGCATTATTAAAACAAATAATGATTCATTTGGATTAAATAAATTAAACCAATTCTACATAAAATGAGAGTTTGACTAGTACAAATTAAACAAAAAAGAAAAATCATTTTTTTTTTGACGATCTAGCAAATGAAATGAGTAACTCCGTACATATTTGTTATATATTTAAAAATGATCGGTCCCAAAGTTAGAATTAAAGATGATAGTCTCTACTTTTTTTTTAACCATTGTAAAAAAATAAAAAAATAAAAACTATGTTACTAGTATATAGAAATATAAACTATGTTCCTACAATTAACAAAGTTTATTGTTTTAACTAAACTACTCTCTCTAATTATTTAAATTCTTCTCATTTCGCTCTCGTCTAGTTGCTAATGTGCATTGTAAATTGGTAATGCATTGGATTAAACATTAATAAAAATTATACGGAGTAATTGATCATGTTTGTTGTTCTGAAAAAAAAAAATAACATATGTATGCTGTTCTGAAATTACTTTTTTTTTTATTATTATTATTATTATTATTATTTTTTGATGTTTAGAGAGCCACAAGGGCGGAGGTGAGAATTGATCCCAAGATCTTCTAGAGTCGGAAGGAAAGCTCTAACCACTTGAGCTATCCCTCACTCTCTGCTGTTCTGAAATTACTCATTGAGATTAATCCAACATAGCTACTTGATCATGTTCACCTTATAATATGAAAATAATACAGTATACAATAAAAGATTATCTTGTAAATAGTGTTTAGTTTTTTTTAATGAAAATAACATTTTATACCAGAAGAAGTACATAATCCTCTTTCAAAAAAAAAAAAAAAAAAAAAGTACATAATCCTATATTCGAATTATAAATCATTTACACAATGAAGTAAAGTAAAATAAATTTTAACAAATTACACAATGGAAAAGTGAGAAAAATTCAAGCACTACCTAGTATGATAGAGTAGTTTAAAGTGTGCCAAACTTTGTTTCGTACCAAGTATTTAACTTGCTTAACAAGTATCCTACTTGGCCACTACTCGTATATACTAATGGATTCCGTCTTGATTCCATCGATATTCTTGATTCTCCATTGACATTGTAAACAACCCTTAAATATAATGATACACTTTTTAAATTCCAATAAGGCTAACAAACTATGTTTAAACTTAAATTAATTTGATTAAGTCTAATTGCCTTTTCTAATTTTCGATCCTTAGCTTCATTATAATGTCAATGTTAAGTATTATATATAGTGGTGTCACTTAATGAGTTATCCTCATAAAAAAAAACCCAAACCAAGTAAGCAAATACTATTAGCTAGGTATACCACCTTAGCTAAATACTTACAACCAAAAAAAAAAAAAAACCCTTTTAAAAAAAAATTAATTTCATGGCGAGTGGTGAGCCAGGTAGCTCAATGCATGGGGTGACGGGGAAGGAGCAATCACACGCCTTCTCCGTCTCCCCATCCGAGGTCCCAGTGGACCACACGGCCAAGTTTGCTCTGCCAGTCGATGCAGAGCATAAGGCCACAAAATTCAAAATCTTATCCCTAGCCAAACCCCACATGACTACATTCCACCTAAGTTGGATATCCTTTTGTACGTGTTTCATATCCACTTTCGCGGCTGCACCCTTGGTCCCAATCATAAGGGACAACCTCAATCTCACCCAAGTAGACATTGGTAACGCCGGAGTAGCTTCCGTCTCAGGAAGTGTCTTCTCTAGGCTTGTGATGGGCACGCTTTGCGACCTCATGGGACCGAGGTACGCTTGTGCATTCCTAGTCATGTTGATAGCCCCTGCCGTGTTTTGCATGTCTTTGATAGAGGATGCATCAGGGTACGTAGCAGTGAGGTTCATGATAGGGTTTTGTCTAGCCACTTTCGTGTCGTGCCAATATTGGATGAGTACCATGTTTAACGGACGAATTATAGGGCTTGTGAATGGGACAGCTGCAGGATGGGGTAATGCCGGAGGTGGTGCAACCCAACTTCTTATGCCTGTGGTGTATGAGATTATTTGTCGTATCGGAGCCACGTCTTTTGTAGCTTGGAGGATTGCCTTCTTCATTCCAGGGTTGCTTCATATTGTTATGGGGATTTTGGTTCTTACACTTGGTCAAGATTTGCCTGATGGTAACCTTGGTGCCCTACAAAAAAAGGGTGAGGTTGCTAAGGACAAGCTCCCTAAGGTAATCTTATTAGTCCCTTTATTTTCTTTGAGTGCATTATTATCTTGTTACATTGATCGTCTCTAGATTTTTAACACGAAAAAAATGTCTATTTACATATTAGACATATTATGTATAGTACATACTATTCAGCTCATGGTTTGTCATTTATCGTCTTTATAAGATATTATTAAATGTATAGAATGTTTTATCAATCTCATTTATGTAACAAACGTGCTATTGTGTGATTTTGTGTACACTTCATTTAATTAGACGTTATTTTGTATATTTACGTGGGTTTATAAGAGCATTAATACCGATTGATATATTTTTTTTCCTTGCCTAATCTCTCTAATTTAGGTGCTTTGGTATGCTGTCTCCAACTACCGGACATGGATCTTTGTACTCCTCTATGGCTACTCCTTAGGTGTGGAGTTGACTACTGATAACGTTATTGCAGAATACTTTTTTGATAGGTATTCTTATGATATTTTTTTTTAATATATATATTTTTTTTAATGATTTCTTTCTTTATTGTCCGCTTTTTTTTTACTTTTTTTTGTAATAGAAATTCTGAAACCAAATCCAACATACACAACATGTCTTAGAACTGCAAAAACTGTGTATTTATGATCTTATAAGCTACACAATTATAACTTTACCTTTTTAGGTTATTTGGGTAAAATTGAGGTGGGTAAAAAACTAAAAATATGTCATGAGAAGATCCATATATCATAATCAATAATGGTTGCAAGCTGTTAATAACATGAGGTTCCTTAATCAAGCTGGTTAATTAATTTAGTCTCCTTAAATAAGTTGATATAGTAATGATTAAGGAATCTCTTAACAAGTCACCTATTTTCTAATGTTTAATACTACATAGAATCTGAATTGATTCCACGACCCTGGGGCCTGAGCACGTTAATAGATCCTATCAATTACTCTATTCGACCAATTTTTTTATTTTTTTTTCTTAAGCTATATGGTTTGACTTATTATAATATCGCTACATACCCTTAAGATATTAGTGAAAATTATTAAAAGTTGATAACTTGAAGTTACATACACTCTTGACACTATAATATAGATAGTATATTCTCCATTTTATTCCGTATAGTATCTAATCTGATATCATAGCTAAGTCAAGAAATTTACTTACGTTTGTGATCATTTCAATAGGTTTAGCCTCAACTTGCACACAGCAGGAATCATAGCAGCCAGCTTTGGGTTAGCAAACTTCTTCTCCCGTCCATTGGGGGGGTTAGCCTCGGACTATAGCGCCCGTTACTTTGGTATGAGGGGGCGGCTTTGGACCCTATGGATCCTCCAAACAGCTGGTGGATTGTTCTGTGTTTGGCTTGGATTGGCCAAAGACCTCACCACAGCCATTGTATCCTTAATCCTATTCTCCTTAGGGGCTCAAGCTGCTTGCGGAGCCACCTTTGGGATAGTGCCCTTCATCTCTCGACGATCCCTAGGGATCATCTCTGGGCTCACTGGAGCAGGAGGCAACGTGGGAGCGGCATTGACCCAGTTTATTTTCTTTTCTGGAAATCGCTTTAGCAAAGAAGACGGTCTTCTCTATATGGGCGTTATGGCCATTGCTTGTACCGTCCCAGTGGCCTTTGTGCATTTCCCACAATGGGGTAGTATGTTTTTCCCTGCATCCAAGACTGCTACCGAGGAGGAGTATTATGTTGCTGAGTACAACAAAAACGAGCAGAGTAAGGGAATGCACGAAAGGAATATCAAGTTTGCTGAAAGTGCACGGGCAGAGCGTGGGAACGGCTTCTGCTCCTCTGCTCCTCCTACCGATGCTTAATTTTTCCATTGCTCTCAGTATATAATCAAACTTGTACTAATATATATTTTTCAGCTGTCAATTTTTCAAATCATATATGTAGCATTTTGAAAGAATGCAACTCTGTATGAGCCAAAATATCATGCTTAACCCTACTGGTACTTTTGGTGCGTGAGGTGATGGAGCTTAAATCATCAAACTACTATTCCCGTTCGAGTGGCAAGTGAACTGTATTTGTGATAAGAAGTATACTTCATTTTGTGTTACTTCTAGTATATCATTTCTTATGATATATAATCTTATTTGTTATAAGAAACATACTTCATCTTGTGTTAATTTTATGATATAAACGTCTTTACACTAGCATATTGATAAATTATGCTTACTCTTCTCTACCTTAAATGAGATAGATACTTGCTTTTACATGTTCAAATGACCACATTAGGGAGTGTGCTGCTATATTGCTATGTAAATGTAACATATGCTATTCATAGTAATTTCAGAGTAGCGTATTATTATTAACATAGTATAAAATGTCAATTTACATCACCAAAAGCCGACTAACTATAGCTTATAATCTGGAGAGGAGAGTAAAAGCCACAAACAATGCTATAGCGAGTATTTAGGAACGGAGGAAATTACTTCCGAGTAAAACGCATGCAAAATGAAAGCTACAGAAAATTCTTTTCAAATAACTATAAATGTAAGTCATAAAGTTACAACAAATGAAACTGTAAGACATAATCAAATACTAACTGATGCGGACAAAAATGGGTATAACCCAGTTGTATTTGACTGAAGACTTAGAAGAGGATCTTGAAAATACCTCTTTTCGACCACGAAAAAGACCTTACAACCTGATGGACTCAAAACACAACATCATCCACCCCACGAGTCCTACTGTTTCAGTGGTGCCTTCTTTTCTCTGTCCGCTATTCTGGCAGGGGCATTTGAGTGTGATTTGAACCGCCCTCTCCCTCCTTCGTCTTTCTCCTGCAGAACACAATTTATGCATCATTGATCAGACTATCTTGCAGGAAGAAACAAAGGACATACAACACAAGTACTGAATGTTGCATTAAGCAAAAGTTTTTAACTTCCAATGATTCAAAAATTCATATAGTATGAGGTAAATGAAGCGTTCACGAAATAGCAGTAATGATTTAAGAAACAGCGAAACCCACCTTCTTTTTAACAATTTGGACCACATCCTCATCTTGAAGGGCATGTGAGAGTCCACAGTGCTGAGGATAATGCCTTGCACTCGTACCCCAGACAAGTGCATACTTTAAATCCTTCACTAGCGTTCTGTGTATATGATTACAAAAATCTTCGACTGTGCAACCACCTCGATCCTAGACAGAACAACAAAGATATAAACATGGAAGGAGAGTTGGAAGCAAATCTGATACATAAATAGCTCTAACAAGAATCTATTACTGAATACTCTGGACTCCTGGAGAGAGCGAGAGAACAGCACATAATATGATTCAAAATGACATACCGCAGAAAGTACCACAGGCTCAGAAAAATCTGGCTGCTGTCCTTGAGGCTTTGTATAAGCTCTAACTAGTCCCATCTCCTCCCACATTCTTGCCAGTAATCTGTCTAGATTAAGCTGTTCAAACATAAATTGAACACCAGGACAATTTTATTAGAAGATATACACACTATTTGCAGAAGAATCATGGTACTTTAGATCCAACATGTAAACAAAAACCAAAAGCACTATAGTCAAGTTTTTTTGTGGACAAATAGAAACAGTATAGTCAAATAAGAATGTTTTAGAGCAAAACTAAAAAGGAGCACAACAGTATGCAATTGTTTTCTAGTGTTCTTTAATTTAAAGACAAGATGGACATTATTCTTCTATTTCTTTATTGAAATGCAGACATGGAAAGGACATATAGAACAATATAATGTCTTTAGAACATTAACATATAAAGACTGTCGGTGCATCAACATTCCAGCTATGAAATACTTCGTAAGAGTGTTTTGGTCCTAGTCTGCTGCTTTACAGTCTAATATTTCACCAACTTTTTTTATAATACAATGACTAGATTAGTAGCAAACTAATCATAGCTATAAATAAATTAGCCAATGCCAAAAAGGTACCTTCAGGTTGGCACTAATGACAATAGAGTTCGGCAATCTTGCTAGCCTGTCAACATCATCAATACCAACAACATCTATCTTGTTGTACACGTACACACATTTAATGTATTTACGATTCCCTTCAATCACATCAATCAGATCGTCAACAGTGGCATCCTCACGGAATAATACCTGCAACCAGAGGAAACAAAACACCATTAATAGGAAGCTAAAAACACTCCATTTTACTCCGTATATAGTTAAATTCAAGCAGGTTTTAGCATCAAAGCCATAAATTTTGCTAAGATTAAATATGATGCATCAACTCCTATGGTCCAAATGAATCTTCTATAAGAAAATAGGTAATCAGTTATTATAGTTTAGGTTAAGTTATGGATTGCAAGTTTGCAACATACTCGTTTTATAGTAAGAATATACGAGTCAATGCCATCACCTTAATGAAATGAAGTCAAGGGTGCGATCAAGCCAATTGTATAATTATAGGATATCTAAATTCAAGAACCATAGTAGTCCTTATCCAGAAACATTTGAGGGACAAGATGTTGACCAAATTACTCAACAAACATACAGAGAGTTTCTGAGAATTTTATTATATAATGACAAAAACTTAAATTAACCAAGAAATACTTTAGAAACTAGCCTAGCCAATCAACTAGGGTGGCTTTCAAAAAGACTGGAAATGGGATTTAATCATTCACCAAAGACTAATGAATTTGCCCCATTGTCACATAGTTATATGGTGGTACTGGAACTAAACATTGATGTACCCCTCCAAACATCATTAAGGCTTCAACAACATTGGGCCACGAATTCCAACCTAAAGGTGGCCGAACTGGACAAGATCTCAGTCCTCTCAGAGAGAGAGAAAGAGAGAGGGGGGGGGGGGGGAATCCAATTTATCCTTGGGCCCCCTTCCCATCCTTCCCTGATCCTTTTTTACTCTTCATGAAAAGATACAAAATACACTAAAGAGGGGACCTTATATGAAATGTCCATTTCAGCCAAAATTGGTAGATAAATAAAGAAAATTAAAAGCTGGTCACAAGCAATTACAAATATATATTAACAAATACCCAAGCAAAGGAATTTTAAACAATGTAATCATAAAAATAAAAGATTTTAAAATAATTTTTTTATTAAAAACAATGCATTGCAAAATCTCAACTGGTACGTCTTCATTTCTTACAAACAGTATAATACTGTAATACTGTAGTGCAGAAGGGAGATCACGATTCAAACCAAGAAGACAGACAAAAGGACCAATTTCTTTTCATTAATTTAGACTTAAATGCAGCACAAGAACAAACGAAAATATACGTATCACCTTTCGGAGCTTATTACAGAGTTGAAGCTAATACCTCTGCATTGTGAATCTTATACTCGTGAAGAATTTGATAGCAAAGCTTCTCATCCACATGTGTCAACGGCATTGTACTGTTGAAAGAAATGCCCCCGGTCTTCTTCTTCTTAAAGTAGATCTATTAAATAGCACATAGTGAGTACCAAAAGCAATACAAACCAATATGAAGAAGCATTAATTTACAAGTGTGAGGCATCCATTAAACAAAATTTTCAAATAAGTGGGAAACATTATATCCAAAGATAACATTGGAAAGAAAGTGAAGACTGGATTCATAAGGGAGAGGTAAGAATGGAGATTGCAAGAATTTTTTCCTTTTTCTACAAAATTCTACACCATAAACCAAGTGCCTACAAAACATATTAAATCAAAAAGTAGACAAGAAAGTTTAAAAGAATCTGAGCAAGTGTATATAATGGAAGTTTCAGGAAGACTGCAAACACTCAACAAAGATTTTTACTTTCACAAATAACATCATCAGTAGGTGAGCTGGAAGGGTAGCTAGTAAAGGATGGGAGCAAAATAGCAAATTAAAGATAGCTAGGCAACAGAAAATCCTAAAAAAGGTGACAGCGATAATGAAAGTGATTATCACAAAGTAAAAGTTTTCAATAATATGCATAGAAATCCATATATAAAAACCACAAAAACATCACTTAGATTTGCTTTATCAAATAAAACCTTACATGTGGTGGTCTTTTGTTGAGACGTAATCCCACAGCTTCCAGTTCTCTAGTCAATATTTGCCGATGTCCCTCACTCTAAAGCATTTCCCAAACAGTCAATAACAAATGAATCAGCAAAACCAAAGGAAGTTGACCTAACTTGCAAATAAAACCACTGAAAGACAATTACACAATTTGCTAGAATACTAGATAAATAACACGCCTAATTGAATAGTTTCTCTAGCTAGCAACCTCCCAATAAAATTTGCATTGATGTAAATGAAATAGACAAGGAATTGTTTGCATATCAAGATAAATATTACTTACTTTCGAGGCATCTAAAACCATTAGTACAAGATCTGATGATTTGGCCACAGCAATAACCTGATAGAGATACATAATGTAATCAGAAACTCTAAAGATAAGCATAAACACAGGTCCAAATTAGAATTTCAGAATAGGAACACCTCATTTATGATAATTATCAGCAGAACCAACTAATAATCAAAAATCACAAATCACATTCTTAAGCAGTGGCATAATTTACCTGCCTTCCACGCCCCTTTCCCTCAGAAGCTCCCTCAATAATTCCAGGAAGATCAAGAAGTTGAATCTTTGTGTCATTATAGTGTATAATTCCAGGGATACAGGTAAGTGTGGTAAACTCATATGAGGCAGCTTCTGAATGAGTTCCAGTAAGTGTGGTTAGGAGGGTTGACTTACCCACACTGCAGCAAGAGCATATAATGAGCATATACCAGCATAAAGTGTAACTTTATAAAAGAATATATACTTTACCACTAACGACAAATTTGCTTGTCAAATTGTTATTAACCACAACTTTCATATACAGCACCATGAGTCCATGACAAGCCATTACATTTTCCACATTGGCATTCTCATCAAATGAAAGATGAAATCTACCAAATTGTTTAAGAGAAGTTGCATATTGTTTAAGAAAAACTACAAGCCGTAAGAAAATTAACAGCCAACAGATAGGAAATAACAATTAAAACCAACAGCAAAATTTAGGGAAGATAGAAAACCTTGGAAATCCAATAAGTGCAATACGTCCATGCCCAAACTTCGTGACTTCAAAACCATCTCCTCCTCCACTAGAACCCTGATAGAGAGTTCAAATAACAATTAAGACCAATTCGATAGCAGGCAATCAGGACACTACAAAACCAATGAAGACAAGGGATGACTCGTACAGAAATCTATAAACTGCAACAGTAACATTCCAGGAAAGACAACAAGCAGTGAAACAATCTTAGACAAACAGTCCCATTCCAGAGTACACCTCACCTAAAATTGAAATTCTACCAATATACAAGCAAATTTGTCAATTGTACCAATATACAAACAAAATTTTCAATTCTACCAATATACAAACAAATTTGATCAGCAAATGTTTATAATAGCCATGCAGAGAGGCACGACAATTACATCTTTCCCTTTAATATGAATAGAGACATAAATTTGATTGAGGTAGAAGCAAAGTTTTAAGTAATACATGACAATAAATTCTGCCACCCAAAAAGCATCTCCAATAGTAACTTAGAACATATTGTAGCCTGCTTTGGCACATCAATAAGTTAAGCTATATACTTTATAGCGGCTAAGTATTCCAATGGCTAGCTACACATTGTAGCTTTCCAATAAAATAAAACATATTAAACACATGTTCAATTTTAAGTGAAGCTTGCTTTTCTCTTTCTTCAATCAACCTTGTAGTCTTCAATCAAGCTTGTAGCATGAGCTACAGCAGCTTGCAAGCTACAATAATATTTTGGTCCCCAATGGTAAGCTTGAAGCTACACGATTTATTTTAGTTGCGAGCAGGTCCTTATTATTAGCCATGTGAGTTGCTCTTATATTCAAGGAGCTTTGTAGGATTTGGTGATGAATTCATCCTCATAGAATAAATTAAACAAATTAAATATAAATGACACCAATCTCCTTAAAAGTTCAAATATGCTCGCAAAATTAAATAAGATTGGTAATGAAAAGACAAATTTTACAAGATATCTACAATCAGTCAAGTATCAGAAAAGGAAGAACTTCTCAAGAAATTACATACTTTAGGAGGCTCTAATAACTGTGTCCTGAGCTTTGCTATCTTTGCTTTCAATTGACCCAGATGATACTCTGAAAAAAACACATAAAAAATGCTCTTAGTACAACGAACACCACAAATAATTGACATATCTGAACAAATTAGTTAATTTATTCAATAGTCCTCTTCAAGAAATCAACTCCAACTTCCCAGCCTTATCAGGAAACTATGCCAAAGTATTCAGGACAGAATAATGGAATTTGCCAAGCAACATTGCACAATGAAAGGCAACATAAAATTCATTTACACTTAGGAGGTGTTTGGTTAGTGTATTTTTTGGATTGGAAACAGATTCGATTAAACCAATAACGTTGACGTGTGTTTGGTTTGAAGGCATGGTAACAATTACCATTACCTAAGGGTAATGATTACCCCTTATTTGTTACCTCTCAAACTGAGAGGTAACAAATACTCTTACCCTCCTCTTAACAAATACCCTTTCTATGGTTAAACCAAACAAACGAAAAGGAAATAGTTAAATGATTCCTTTCCTCCCTCTTATTTGTTTCCTTTCCACTCCGTTTCCACTTTTCAAACCAAACGTCCCCTTAACACTTAGGCAATTACTTCATCTGTTTTCCATGAACGGACTCGTGACTAAATACCCAATCTACTTGGAAGTGGAAAATAAAACCATTAAATGTAATGCATGTCATCTACTTCAAGTCTTCAATCTATAATCCCTCTCAAAAGCTTATAAGTTATAACACACACCTGTAGCCTTATTCTTCTGTGTCCGAGCCATCTCGGCTTCGATTTCCTTAATCCTTTCAATGATCCCCATGGTTCCTGAACTTCAATCACTGATAAGAACAGGAATTAATAAATGAATAAATTAATTAATTAATTAAACCGGCATCACAACAATCGAATTCCACCTAAAACCACGGAGGTTAAGCAATCAGCATAACCATATTCTTTTTCAAATGTAAAAGCACAAAAGCACCATTAAAATTATGACTTTATGAGTGATCAATTCATCCAAATTAAGAAAATTGACATATCCATTGAAAATCAATACACACGGTGCAAAATATAACATAAGCTCCCAAAATCTTTCATAAGAGATATGAAATATTAAGACTTTATATAATTTAACCCATAAAAATTATAGTAAGCATCAAAATCACCATCTATACAAGTGCACAGATAATAAAAGTAAACAATTACAAAAATCCAAATTGTGGGTAACCGATAAGAAGAAATCTTTGTTCTAACACTGATTAAGAAGTGAATAACACTAATCATAAATCATCAAACGAATAATAAAATTCTCAAATTTTTAGGGCAGACCAAACTTCCAAAATATTCTATGAGCTACATAATTTGCAATAATCGATGATGCTCAAATTAAATTAAAAAAAAAATTGAAGATTTTTTCATGAAATCGTAAAACGAACAAGACAATGGATGAAGAGAGAGAGAGGAACCTAATAAGCGTGAATTGAATCGAATTGCAGAAGTGATGAGAGTGTCAGATGAAGATGTGAGGAAACAAAGGTAGTTCTAGGGTTTACCAGAATTATTTTCCTCACCTTTTTTCCTCACAACTCAAAGTAACATCGGTAAAATTTCAGTGAAAGGCAAAAAAAAAAGGGAGGGGAAGAGAAAATTGTTTGTTTTTATTTATTTATTTTTCTTATTATATCGATTTTCTAATGGAATTACTCAATTTTTTTTTAAAAAAAAAAAATCGTTATAACTTATACGTTTCAGTGTTTGGAAACAAATTCAATAGTTTTGTCGTGTTTGGAAATAACTTTAATGTAGAATGATACCTAAACCTACACTGAGTCGGTTTACAATTTTAGAAATTTCTATATTTGCTTGTCAATATGGAAATGTAATTTTAGAGAGTCAAAGCTTCAATAAAAGAAAACTTGACCATTTTATAATGAGTTTTTTTTCTTTAACTTTATTTTACTCTACTAAAAAAAAAAAAAAGAATTATGTAAGCTACTTTGAATTTACCATGTCTTTCTAGTTCCAAATTATTTAAGATAGTCATTCCTTGCCATTCTGATCAACTTTCTCTCCCTTTCGTTCGATTTTGTACCTTTTTTTTTTTATCATTATACCTATTAGTGGTAACTTAGTTGATATTTTTATTTATACATAGTAATTAAAATTATTGGCCACAGTATATATGACAAATGATATTTAAACAGCACATAGTCTATATCAATCAGTAGCATGCTCAATTAAAACAAAGCACCAATTGCATAATGCTCCCGACTTCCCGAGAGTAATACATAAAGGTCTGACATAGAATGCACATCATTAAAGCATTAACTGCATAAGAAGCTTAACTGAAGATTGAACTCATACTAAATTGGCAGGTATACTGTAACGACAACATTCAGCCCACAGACCACACCATGAGCTAGCCCCTCGAAAGCTGAGAGGCAGCTATGTGATCCGTCCACGGGTTTTAACATGTGCCGGTATTCCTCTTCACAAGTGTTTGATTCTGAACAGCTATTGTGATCATCAATATTCAATAATATACAAGCATCTGGACAAAATATACCAAACTATTGAACCATCTCTCAAAATAAGCTACATTTTCTTTCCCTTCTACTCAAAAACATGGAGCTGAAAGTACAGTAGATAACTCAAGGATGAAGACCTTGAACTAGCATACATCGCAAAAGTTGTCATTTTACTGACATTCAGGCTAATACAGAAACTGCAAGGCAGTTGCACGGTGAGCACTCAGCACCATTATTTTTCTCTATATATAAAACCTAGGTGGTGAAAGTATTTACAAACGATGTCACAAGTATCCTGATTTATTTTCATTTACACTTGACCCACTATTTTTGTTGCTACCGGCTTTCAAGACATGGGGGGCCTGACCATTGAGTTCTGCAAGCTCCCGCACTTTCACCAGAATTGTTGCAGGGATTGGTATCGGTGCATTCTTACGAGGATTTACCTGCAACAATTAGTACACTTTAGCAACATTTACTTTGATGACTAAGCTTTATGCTTTATCTAACAATGGTAGATAACCATATCTAAGTTTAAAATATAATTGCTTACCCCTTTATCTACTTGAGAATTAGCAAAGCTAGCCTTCAAAAGGTTTCTCCACTTATCCTGCAAGATTAACTCTAGTCTTTCAGCAAAGATCTACTGTTGATTTTCATTGCAAACCCACAATATGTAGTTTTGTACTTTGAGCCCATAAATGCAATAGATACAGTTCCATACCTTCAGGTCAACAGAGGTGCGATGGGCATACGATGAAAAAGAAAGCCTTTTAATTTCAGACCAGCGTCCAGCTCCAAACATAGCAACACCATCAACAAGCTTTGTAACTTCAGTTAAACTCCAAGCGCGATGGTGCTTTCTTCTCACTCCACCCTTTACAGTGGGAACAGTAGCTACATGATCGTCAGAGTTGTTGCCGGATGCATTCTCTAGTTGAGTACTATCCACTGAATCCACACTTTTTGGCTCCCTAGCTTGAGAAATAGCATCTGACATACTAGTCAAGCATTGTTTCTCTCTCTCTTCTTCTGAGGCAATCTGCAAAGAAGCATCCACAGGGAATGACCATATTTCACATATTTTTGCAATAAAGGTGTTTCAAATGCAGACCTGAATAACATCAATCCAGTTCATTCAAGGGTCACCAAACTAACTATGCTCCCTAATTCACTGAAAATGTAGATTGATCAAACATTTTAGATTAAAGGTCTGAAGAAAACATTCTCTATGATTTTCAAAAAGAAAGACTGCCCAAACACCCACGCTAACTATGATTGTAACACATGATATTGCAACATGACAGTATTGCACGGAATTTAAGATGAGGAGAGAGATAAGAGTGAAATAAAGATAGAGACCCATGTGCTGAGAGATAAAGAGAAACCATGTAAAAATTAGGAGATTTTCAATATTTGTAAAACTTTTTAAAATGGTAGTTGCAAATTGCAATATTAGGGGAATGAAGGAAACATTTCAGGTTACTTGTTCCATTTATTCAACATAGTATTAAACCATGACACAGTTACCACCACAGAAAATATACATCACAAGAAAGAAAGAAAAGAACAGTAGAGTTTTTATATTGACATGTTATATCTCACATAATTAATGTTTGCTTACCGGCTCTTCAAATGGAATAGGCTTAGTCTCCACAAGTTTAGCCCTACTATGATAATCAGGCTGCGGCTTACTCACTGCAGCAGAACTCTCAACAGTTTTCCTATTCAACGCACCATCACTTGAATTGAACTTCTGCAAGACAGCACCGTATAGATTATGAGACACAGATGATAAAAAGAGAGAGATGTAAGACAAGCAGTTCAAACCTGTATTCACTATCAAATTTTAATACCAAAAACAATGTTATACAAGAAATGTGCACTCCTATCATCCTATGTGAGCTCAATTTTCTAGTCCAAGAAATTAATTTTACCAAAAAAAACACACACACAAAGATAAACATGCATCCATGCAAACATTACTAATACCAGTAATGTAATACATCAGAAGTAGAGTCAGAGACTGGTATTGTGGACAACCTGTAAGAGAAAACACAGCAGTACCAAGTAATCTAAGACAGGATATCAATACACTGGCGATAAAAAGAATTCCCCAATCACTCTGCTGTAGTAATATGGTCCTACATCAGAATAGTAAGCAGTTCTAATTTGACATATGTAATCCAAACCTAAATGAAAAATGCAAGCTCAATGTTCTACTTTGAAACTATTTCGTACCGTAAGGGCCATTATACTTTTTCTGGGACGGCATCTCCGAATCCGAGAGACGTATGGGACCTGAACACCAGATCCTCCAATGGAATCAGGTCTAGTGATAAAATCACCTGAATGAACACCGCATGCAGGTTTGACTGCTTCCTTGCAAGAAGCTTTATCCTGTCCAAAATGCTTGGATGGAGAGATTGACTTTCCACCAAAGTCTTTTTCTGTATCAGATGATTCTTCTATATATCGCTTTGTAGGCTTCCTGGCTCGTTTTGCAGCTCTGTGATCAAGATGGTCATCACTTCTACAACCAGATTCAGTAAAAGAATTCCCCAATTCAACATCTAAGGTATCCTCCCTTACATTTGGAGCAACTAAGTTCACTGGCTCATCATTCCCAGCACTGCAGACCTCTCCAGCTACTGAATTTCCACAATCCATGTTTTTACCAAGTTCTTCTTTCTTCAGAAGCTTCCCATCATTGATTATAAAACTTGTCACAGTTACATCACAAGAATTAGTCAATCCCATTGCAATTCTTCGTTTAAGCCACATCTTGTCTTTGACAGAAGTTCTGCGCCCAAATGTAGCTCTGAATGTTTCATGAAGTTCTTTAGTAGTTAATTTGTCCAAATCAATCTCACCCTTTATCAAAGAAAAGTCAGGTTTGGAACCAGAAGATCCATTTTTGTTTAGTCCATCATGAGGGCTAGAGCTTGACTCCTCTCCGTTGTTCACAGATCCCTCTACAAGTCTGTCTTTAGAACTTGATGCAGATTTAGGTAGAGAGTCCTGCAAGAAGTTCCAGATAGAAGGATATGTAAAAAAATAATTTCTCATAGATTAGAACTGTGCAAACACAGCAAGCAGATGAGCTATATGCTAACTAGTTAGTAACAAAACAAAACCCACAACAGAAGCACACTAATTCATATCCCAGTTCGATTTCAATAATTTTTATTAAAATTGAAGAAAACTACAAAACTTTCATTTGTTCCCTTTCTAATAGTACAAAAATTTAGAGATCCACAGGTGCAGAATGAATACTCCAGATAGGTAACATATTTATCACTTCTGATTAGTTTTCACTTACAAAAGACCAAAAAAGATTAAAAACTCCTTTAATTCCATTTCAAATGGCACAAAGTAACACAAAGGAGAAGGGGATAAAAATAATACTAAAGAAAAAACATATCCACGTATACTTTATACTCCATACTTTGGACGGGCAACCAATAAATTAATAATGCATGTCAACAGTATGATGGTGAGAGATTGTAATTAAGCCCAGTGATTAGGAATTTCATAAAGGAGAAAAAAGAACTGACGAATTTCATTCGGGCCAATTGACCAAATTAATAAAATAAAAATCTCCTCAAAATGCCCACTGTAATTAGTATTTGTGTGATTTAAAATTTATTTTTCCCATTACATAAAACAGCAACAAAGCCTTGGTCCAAGTTTATTATATGCCCAATTGTTTTGTGTGTATCCAGTGTTTATACCAAACGCACCCATATTTTCTTCCATCTTCAGTAATAAAAGTCTGTTTTTAATAGTCAACTCTTGTAGACATTGTAGTGGAGTCCAGTACCATTTCTAACTTAACTCTCAGTGGTTCTTTCTGTGATAGGGAGTATTCCTTTACTCTTAAACAAGTGTTTTGTCGATAGAATTCTCAAAGCTCAGCATAGTATTATTTTTTTAAAATAAAATAATTTAAAAAAAAGAAGTCTACGAGTGCCCTAAAGACAACAAAAACAAAAAAAAAAACAAACCTTTTCTAAAATTCTTTCATTATGTATTGTAAAACCAACATCTAGACAGCACTAACTAGATCAATTCATCATTTCATCAATCTAATGAAATGGAAAAAATACATCAGCCAGCAATACAAAATCTCTTCATGAAATGCCACAGCCAATGAAACATCAAAGGCAAGGCAGCCTAGAATAAGTCACCTAACAACTTGTTTGGTACAATTTAAGAAATTGGGTAAAAGTTGATGATAGTGTTCTACCATGTAATTTCTGCCTTTTTTCCCTCAAAAAAAAAAAAAAAGTGATTTCTGCCTTTTGGTTCCAAACCATATCATTTTCGTAATACTTCGGATTAGCATAATACCAAAGCTCATGCTAAAATAAAAAATTCAATGCCTTGCATTTTTTAAGTGTTGCAAATAAGGCATATTGTAACTCAACAAATAAAAGAATACCTCAGCCGGAGCTCTTAAGTTCTCTTCATCAATTTTGGTGAGCTTGATTTCTGACAAACCTAACAAATCATGATTTTGGTATCAGAAGCATAAATAATATATATACTTCCAAATTGAACCAACTTTATTATAATATGATTATCGTTATTGTATTGGGATAGTAGATAGGCATAATAAAAATCATTATTCTTGAAGATATATATTTCAGACAATAACTCAATGAGGTAGTTATTAACGACAATTCTGCATTTTAGTTGCAGCAGAAATGCCAAAATAATGGCACAATAACCAAAACGATTATATTGCCAAGCTTAAAACAATTAGCTAAGATTGTGACACAGCAAAATTATTAAGCGGGTAAAATCTAACCTTCATGCTTCTCTAAGTCCGGCTTCTCAAATGATTCATCTAACTCATCTTTATCTGCAATATGTGCTACTGTCTCTACAGCATCAGGTATAGAAAGCATATCACTCTTTTCCAACTCCAACAAATCCTCAACCTCCATAAGCTCATCATCAGTAGCAGGAACAAACCTTCCATCAAAATCAACCTATACAGCAGAGATGAAATAAACCGGTCAACTACAGAAAGGATTGTTGCTTAAGAAAAATAGGTTAGAGAGGAGCCAACCAATGAAGACACCAGCACACAAGCAAGTTGATATAGAGTATCAATTTAGTCAAACAGTGTTATCACTTGCAGTATTCAAGTGGATTGTATAAAATTGGATAAGCATCAATCTACATACATCCCAACAATTGAACATTAACGTAAGAGCCAAAACATCATAATGACCTTTGAACTTCAATAACCGAGTCAGGAAAGACAGAGGCTAATAAATTCATTGCATGTGAATATCGCTGATCATTTTAGAAACAAAGAAATTTTTTCTATCTCATACTGATTGGGAAAAAAATTCTGCATAACCTTTAAAAACACGCAGTTGCATTCAGAAATGAATTGAACAGTGAAGTTCACCCTACAAACAAAAGGAGGAGGATGAAAAATATACAAAGTTTTTTAGCATAAATCTATCCAAGAGAGAAACTTTTAACAGCTAGAACAAGGTCGAGAATTTATATTGTGTCCTGGATGTGACAGACTTAATTACTCATAAGAGTTTTAAAGAGGAAAGAAGCCGCAATTTCAAATCAGAGTTTCAGCTCAGCTGTAAGACCTATAACCCGCTCATTCTGCAGATTTTTGAAAACCTGAGGATAGTATTAAATCCTCAAAAACATACACCTAACCATATAATTACACTTGAGCATCACAAAAGATAAAATAACATCTAATCTAACTAATAGCTACCCGTTAGAAGCTCCCAAAAGATAAACAGCAACCTCCACCTCCGCATGAAATCAATCTTTAGATAATAGCCTAATCATCAGCAAGAATCTGCAGGATTCTTCAAAAAGTTGATCAGCTGATACAGAGTCCGGGAATTAAATCAAAAGGTTGATCAGCTGATACAGAGTCCAGGAATTAAAGCATGACTGGCCAAGCTAAAATGACAGGCAACCCTAGAGAATCAATGCTACCACAAGCACTTGGTGACACAATTGTCAGCCAGAAATGCCATCTCACAAATATTACACTATATTACTGGATTAAAAACTGTTATGATTTGCGTACAGTCTTTACATTCAGTCCATTGAACAAATAACAATTGGAAAGGCAGCAATAAACAACATATATGACTAAAAATCAGATTTGTGTTAAGACATTTACCCGAACAAGCTTATACACAATAGGATCAGCTTCTTGCTTCAATGGAGCTAAACCAGAACTAAGTTTGACAGCTGCACCATCCTCGACAACACCTTCCTCATTTCCCTTAATCCCAACAACCATTTTCATGGAAACCTCACCACAGCCAACTCAAGATAGCCTTGCTGAAACCCACACAACAGCAAACACAAAAAACCAAATTTGACATTTAAAATCAGCATTTATTTCCTATATAAAAAAACTGAATTCAACAGTGAACAACACGGAAACTGAGAAACCGTGAATAATTTGAACGAGCTCTGTATGAATTATAAGCTCATAAAATTGCAATTGCATAAATGCTAGATCAATGAGTCAATTTTGATTTAGTGCATGAAGAAATAAAGCACTGATATCAATAAAAACACACAAAACTATGGAATTCAATAAATAACAAACGTAAACACCCAAAATAAAGGCCTAATTCTTGTCAACCCAACGATTTATTAGTTCAACCGTCAATAAAATGATCTGAGCATCAAAATTTTAGAAATCACACAGAATTCCACAACACACATAATTTGCAACAAAATATTGATAAAATTGTAATTCAACAAATAAGCCAATAAAACACAAAAGGAAGCAAATTAAATTCAATACAATAGATAATGTGATCATGGTGATTAATGTTCATTTATAATTTCTCAGGAAATAAATACATCAAAGCCACCCAATATTCAATTTTTTCCCATATATAGCAAACAATAATTAATCAAAAAGGCTAATTTGGAAAACTACACTCAACCCCAATTTCTTCCAAATTCATAACTTTTTTCCAATACACTGAAAACCCAATTCTTCAATTGAATAACACACTACAGTAAAAAAGGGAAAAGGGGAACAAAACTCTAATTAAATGTACCAAAAACAACAACAAATAAACAATAAATACCAAAAAAAAGGGGCAAAATTGATGAAAAATAACCAATAAAAGAGAGAAATAAAACTAACCCATATGAAAATTAACGCCAAATTTACAAACCCACTTCATAATTTGCGATTTCTCTGGGAAAATTGATCAAAGGCTTCACAGTACAGTACAGAAAACAAAGAGAGAGAAAGTAGAGAGAGAGAAAAAAAAAAAGGGTGGAATTAGCGGCAAAAATAGAAAAATGAAAGTGAAAGAAAAGGACTTTTTTTAATTTTTGTAACAAAGAAATGAGAAATTTACTGGGTTTGTTGTTTTGTTGAAGCTTCGCAAGCAAGAAAATTTTAATCGAGCCAAGTAGAAAGAGGAGAGAGAAAGAAGAGAGAGAAACAAAGAACTTTTTGACTACACTGCTCAAAGTCTTTTTCTGGCTTTACAGTTTCCCGGATTTCAAACTTATTTTGTTAGCTGGATTTAATTATTTTGGTGTAAATTCCGAGATATTGTGGATTTTTTTTTTAATTTTTTTGCTTTTTTGGGAACCAAATTATTTGCTGCCAAATGTAAATTTGAATTGAATCTAGTTGTGACTTTGTGAGTTGTAATGGGTTTATGGGCTTTTGGCCCAAAGTCTTTGTAATTACTATTGCTTCTTGAATGGGAAAGGTAGTGATTTTAGCTCATAGATGGTTGGAGGAATAGATGAAGTGTGATGGAGAATTAGAGAGTGTCATAATGATAAGTTATTGATAATTAATGCATTAATCCGTGTCGTTTGATTGAACAAATGAAGTGTATATTTTATTGATAATTATCTCATATTCTCATGACTTCATTTTCTAGGTGTAAAACGCTACTCCCTCCGTCCCTAAATTACATTTCTGTTTGGAAATTTATACGGGAATTAAGAAGGAAAAAATAAGACAAATAACAATAATTAGATAATGCAATGGGAATTACAAAGATAGATTAGTTATTACTCATGACATGTCATCAATCCTTTGCAAAAAAAAGGACCAATCACATGCTCCTAATTGAAAATTTTTAACCAATCATATTCATTGTAATTTGGCACAAGGATTATGAGTGAGATTAGGTAAGGATGAGTGAGAAAGCATTAAATATAAAACAGAAAAAGAGAGTTGATTTACTAAAAAAAACTTACCAAAAATAAAAAGGAGGAATGTAATTTAAGGACGGAGGGAGTATTTTTTTTTTTTTGTTGATTGTGGGAGATAAACCATTCATAAGTAACTCGTGTATAAGAGAATAAAACATTTACCTATCAGTGTCACTTTATTCAAAAAAAAAATTATTACTTTAAAAATTAAAGAAAAACATTAAATTGTGAGAGGAGATAGGTTAACAACTTTATCTCAAAAATTAACTTGGATTTTTCCTAAAACATTGACAAGTAAACCATCGTTATTATTTAATCATAGTTTAACTTTTTCCGTATGGATAAATAACAACCACCTAATCACCCCTTATATCGTGAATTTGTGATAGGATTTTAAAAAATACTATAATCGCCTACTTTAAATAATTCATATAATGCTAGAATTCTACAAAGTACATGCCAAAGAAGATGATCAATAACTTTGATTTTTTTTTTTTTTTTTAATCTCAATAGAGAGTACAACAAATCTAACAAGACATTTTAAAAGACCTTTCAATATGCAACAACCTATATTTGAAAAATAAAAAATAAAAAAATAGAAAAGTGGGATTCTCCCAACCACCATAAAATTTGGGGGAAAAAAGAAACGACTTCCAAAACAAATAGATATCAAGAAAAACTACTGGTGTTTATCCAAAATCCAAGTTCATGGCTCGTGTTATCCCCTCAACTTTTTCTCTCTACAGCTCTTCTACTCCCTCATTTTTCCCACGAAATCCAACTAAAAATTCTGTTTCTTACAATCTTATTCATAAAACTTCTCTTTGGCTTTGCAATGCCAGCAAGAAACCCGGCTTCTTCGATCAAATTCTCGACTATATTGAAGGTACAAGCTATGTCCGGAGTTTATAGTCACGTTGATAGTGTTATTTGAACTAGTAACGTAACAACTAAACTCGTGTGATTTTATTATGATGTTCAAACTTCATTTTATGCAGGTGGGCCTAAATTAAGAAAATGGTATGGAGCACCTGATCTCCTCCCAAAGGATGGATCAATAATAGCAGAAGATGAGGGTGATGAAACTGGTACATTATACTTGTATTACATTGCTAATTAACTTGCTTTGAACTATTCCTTAAAACTTGTATTATGACTATTATCTTGATGTTTTGCCTGAAAACAGAGGTAGAAGAGGCCAGAGATGCTGTTCTAGTAACTGATGGCGATAGCGAAATCGGCCAGGTATGATATAACAAATGCTAACCTTCACTTCATAATCTTTAGTCCTAATATGCGACTGTCTATTAACAATATAGTCTTTGTAATGTAGTTAAAATTAAGTTCTTATGGCGCAGACTGGCTGTGTATATGTTTAGTTTAGCTTAGCTTGGGATGAATGAATACTGAACCTCTTGATTTCTAGCTTACTATATAGATGGTGATTTTGTCCTTGATTGTAAAACGAACCCGAGTGAAAGCACTGGTTAAAGATAGGCGTGCTGCTCTAGAAGCCTTTGGAACCTACGTCGAGGTATACTATCTAGACCTTCTAATATGCCTGTCAGTTTGGCATCACCATTCTTCTGAGGTTGTATCTACCTTTTAACATAATCTGTGGTGGTTTCACGGAAAGTCATTGGCCGGAGATGCAACTAATACCACCTTTTTGAAGAAGGCCTTGAAGGGTGTTCGTGCGGTTATATGCCCAACTGTACGTACACTAGACCTATGTCTTCTTGGTTGCCTTTTTTTCCAGTAAAGCAGCTTCTAAGCCTGCTGATTTTACACAGGAAGGTTTCCTGTCCAAAGTTGGGAACTTGCAAGGAGTCCAACATGTTGTTCTCTTATCTCAGGTACATATATCATTCTGACCTATGTAGCCCTGTATATTGTCAGAAACTCTGAAGTACCAGTTCACATAGAATTGAACTTGAACTCGAACAAAACTCTTAAGTAATCTGGATTGCTGCTACAACGCTACGGTTATCTGAAGTTACATGCTCCAAGTATCATGGAGAAGAAGCCCTTTTTATGTCATTTTTGTTTGACTAGATTGCAGTTATCTGTGTACAAAGGTGCTGATGGCATTCAAGCTCTTATGACAAGCAATGCAAAAAAGTTGGCTGAACAAGATGAATCAACCCTTCTGGCTTCAGGAATCCCCTACACTATTATCAGAACTGGCTCTCTGCAAGATACCCCCGGCGGAACACAAGGATTTAGCTTTCAAGAGGTAGACAGACAATCTTACACTGCATACTGTTTTATCATGCCAGAAAAGATATTACTATCCATCAGCCATCACTCAAGAGGAAAAGAAAATTGTTGAGTTGTTGACAGGGTAGTGCAACAAAGGGAAGTCTCGGCAAGGAAGATGCCGCGTTTGTATGTGTCGAGGCACTGAGTTTAGTACCGGAGAATGGGTTCATAGTTGAGGTCAGTCAAACAAATCATGATATACACAATTGGTTTAATTCCTCTTAATACAGTTGTTAATTGATGTACACGAATAGCACAATCCAATAACACTTTTCCAGCTCCACCACTTTTGCTGTCATAGGTAGTCAACGGAGAGGAGAAGGTTTCAGACTGGAAGCTGCAACTCAGAGAGCTAATGGAGAAGAAGGGCAAAGGTCAAGGATGATGGCTAACCAATTCATGACATTTTGAGAATCAACCAGAACCTCAGAGAAAGGATGAAAATTTATTTTATGATCAATTAAGTTGTATTACAAGTAAATTATTTGACTTATAGCTGGTTTTATTCTATGTTAAAATTGCTAGTGAATATACATCAATTGCAAATTTGCTTGTACCATTCCCGAAAGCACACCATCGTGCGTTGTTATTCACCCCAGGCAGGCTATGATCCTTGCCGAAGGACGAAAAAATACCAAAAAAAAAAAAAAAAAAAAAAAAAAAAACAACCTTCTTGTACTTGTATATTTTTAAATTTTTAAAAAAAATATGTAAAACATTAAGGTAGTTGATTTACAGGAAGAAAAAAAAAAAAGTAAAAGGCATTCTTTAAATTGCATAAATATTTTTGTGGTCTCTCATCAATGTAAAAAAATAAAAACCCTTTTCTTTGCAGAAAAAGGGACTCAAACTCCCTCCTCCCCCCTTCTCTCTTTCCGCCAAACTTCTAATTTCCCCTTTTCCTCTTATGCCTGATGTTAGCATCACTAATACAGTTCCTAGCATTTGCTACTGTACAACATACATAAACACCATCGATGAAAAACAAATACGGACATGGCCAAAGAAGTCTATAGAAAACACTAAACTGTCCGCAAAGTACGATAATGGGTTAGTCAAAACATTAACCTCCCCTTTTCTGCCATCTCCAAGCCTCATGCAAGTACTTCTGTATCCTCATCGCGCAAATTCTTTTGCGTGCTATTTTGCTTGCACCAGCACAAAAACTCAGGAAGTGGACCCTCTTCCCCAATAACCCACGGATGCTCAGCGACCATATTTAACGTCAGCCGTTGATCAGGATCTGTCAATAAAGGATTTTTTTGTAGTGAAAATAGATTGTATTTAGAATCTATAGAGGTATTCATATATCATCAACTTAAATTATTGATTTCATTACTGTCAAACACTGAAAATAGTAAAATATAAGAAATCCCTCAAGCCTGAACAAGCAAGCATCAATTAAGAAAATTTAGAACACTAAAAAGAAGAGATCAGAATGCTCAAGAGTAAAGCACCAGGAATAATAATATTAATCGAGTTGTAGTAACTTGCAGATGCAAATAAAAAAAGAGAGCAACATTTTCAACCCCCCTATACCCCAACAACAACAACAACAAAGCCTTAGTGACTTAGTTCTAAAAAAAATTGGTATGCTAAAATGCCAAAAATTCTCACAAAACATGTAAACTAACATTGTACAAAGGTGAGCTGATAAATAAATGGCATTGTAACAGTTTGCTCACCTTTGCACAGAAGCCCCTCTAACAAATTCCTGAGTTGTGGATTAATATTTTCTGGGAGATCAATGGGATCATTAACAATCTGGGGCATCAAAACAGTTGTCAGAATAGAAAAGAAGCAAACCCTGAACATTAAATACTCATTTTAAAGCATGTAGCTGATAGTGGATGAGAAACCGACGCACCTTGTCATAGGTATCTTGTAGTGTCTCTCCGATAAAGGGAAACTTGCCCATTATCATACAGTACAAGGTGATACCCACAGCCCATGTATCAGCAGCTTTGCCACGATAAGTAAGACCTGTGACACATAATCCCCAAGGATGAAGACCATGAAGGAATATTTCAACAGTCTCCCATATTGAAAAAACTATTGTAGAGGGTCATTTGCAGCACTAAACTAACCTAAGCAACACTCAGGTGCAGTTATAACAGGTGTCCCAGGAGAACGGCGAAGCTCATCATTATCTTCCTGCAAATACGATGATTGAAATAAAGGGAATAACATCAGGCATGAGAGAAAAGAAATACACAGTTTACTTAAAACACAAAAATGAAAATTCAAAAGCACTCTGATAGAATGTAAATCTATCTTGAGTTTATGGCATTCAGCACACATCTCCTGGCTGAGTTCCTTATTGTAAATGCTGACAAATCAAGCAAGATCACATAGGTCATAGTTCAATTAATCCAGCCCCGTTCCTATGCATTAAATTATAACAGCTTCATTTGAAAAGATATAGCTTTTCAAAAAGAGCCAATTGACAGAAAATAGACACCAACAAGCTGAGCAGAAACTACAGGGCTCCTTTCATGCATGGTGAACAAAAAAATTAGGGGGTCTCAGCAGCATACAATTCCCATGTAATAACATAGAAATTCCATGGGTTAAAAGAGGTCATTAATTCTTGCATGCCTTTATGACTTTACAACTACACAAACGGCAACTTGAGTCTCTCAAACAGTCAAGCTCCTGAAACCAAAGGCTAAAACTGAAGGTATAACTAAATCCAATAATCCTCATCTAGCGAAAGGTGAGAACATCCACAACATAATGGTCACACTCTGGCAATATTGAACTAGTTTAGAGCATTGGGTGATTATCATAGTTTCTTACTCATACTAGTAAAGGTAATTGCAGTTTAATTCAGCACATACCCTTGACACATTTTAGTTTCTACAATCGTAATAAGCATAAATTTCAATTTCTCCAACTCATAAAAGTCTAACAAAAAGCCACAGCATAAGTTATGCATGCATCACTTGCTCTAGAATATACGAAACATACTATGGTTTACTAGGCAGTTCAATTCAAAGCCATTGGCAACACCACTAAAGTAACTAAACAAATTCATTGCAGAGCCATTTTTTTTAACTTGTATTTGTTTTCAAACAGTGAACCTCCACTGTGCAAGACCTAAGGATTTCATCCTATATTCCTATGTATAACCAATCAGGTAAAAGAAATCATTCTTCCACGTATCCTCATAATGCAACAAATGCAGGTAGTAGATGCTAAAAGAAATGAAGAATTGTATTTTCTTATGCCAAACTTGGAAGCATAACATATTACACCATTACCCTAACACCCCTAATTAATAGCTACTTGAAGAGATGAAGAATAATAATTTTTTAGTACAACTTTTGGGGCATAAATATCAAACAATAACCCTTACGCTTCTATTGAGGCTCCCACTTACAAAAGGTGAGGGCTAGAGGGTTAAGACATGGCCTTACTCGTACAATTGTGAAGAGGCTGCATTTGCCTTAACCATAAATATGCAAAGAAGTTGTTCCTCATTAATCCTTAATTTGAAGACAACTGGCAAACTACTTCACATAAATAAGAGCTACATAACACTAAAATGTGACATAATTCAACCCTTTACAACCCAAAAAAGCAAAGCTGCCCAATAAGGACTCCTATAAATGCTACATAATGGCAAATTTTCGCATTTATTTTACTCTGATTTTGGAAAAATGGCATCTATGGTTAAAAAGGGAATAAAGAGAATTTGATATGAAGTAGCTTGTTTGCGTTGCTCTGGAAGCGGGTAACTTCTGCATTTGAATATTCACTTAAAGTATGTATATAGACGAAGTCTGTACTCCATTGCAATGAATTTCTATCTATGTAAGACTCCTTCCTAAATCTATGATCCCATTGGAAACAATTCGCATTAAGCTGTTCCCCCACAATGAGGTGAAAGAAACTTCCATTTATTTCACTGGATACAGGCAGCTTATGCTTTATTAATTGGTTTTAAAATGTTGTGTAAACCACATCCAACATCCATAGAAGAATTTTCTATGCTAGACTCAGTCCTAGATTTATAATCACAGCGGAGGATGTAATACTTAAAAAAAATGGAAAGAAATGTAAAAGTTAATTAAAGATAGTGTAATCAATGTGAACAGCTCCACCCCGGAACCTCCAAAAAAAAGGAAAGGGCGATGTTGAATTGATTACAGAAACTTAAATAACATGCATAGAAGTTATGAGAATAATCTTCTAAGGCACAATTATCATTGAAAAGACTGAACAAGTTAACTTTCCTTCCCATACCTTCTGCCCACTGCATCTAATATCTACAAATGCTAAATGCACATAAAACATAATCATAATAAGATAATAATTTGTATCCTCAAGCACAATTTTAATGGAACTCATCACATAGATAAGTCTTCAAGAGCAAAATGAAATTGATTTTTAACATTATGAGATACAATTCCGTTACCTCAAATACTTGGCTGACACTGAAGTCTGCAATCTTGACAGTGCCATTACGCGAAACCAAAAGATTTTGAGGCTTTATGTCCATGTGTACTATATTCTGTTGCTCAAAGAAAACAAAATCACTAAGATTCAGTAAATGCCAATCACCACATGGAAAAGAAGATTTAACACGGAATGCCTCAAACACAAAATTAGAGAAACTATAAGTCTCGCAAGACTAAAATCATTGTCTCATATACTCCTTTTAGCAAAAATAAACACCTCGATGAAGAAAAAGAGTATAACCAAAAGACCTCTCCAAAAAAAAATGTTCGGAATAACAGAACTAGTTATGCATAAAATTTAGCTGTCAATTCCATCTGTCTCCTTACTCCTGCATTTCCTTATGGAAAAGTACTTTAAATACAATTGTAAATAAATTAAACAAATCTTAGTCAGCTGTTATACTCATGCCTCACTTCTCAGTGCTTCTCGAGGTATCTATCATAGTTCATAGACTTGTGTTTCTAATGGATTGATTTTATTTTCTATTGCTTCAAATTATTTTGCAAAATTAAAAAAGATGTGAATTCACAGCAAAGCTGTCTTATTGTAAAGTAGGAAACAGTAATTTTGCAAATAGAAAACATGGAACCTGGGCCAACAAATTTTGGAATGGCACTAAAGTGACCTTACATGTGAATGAAGATACATCAGCCCAGAAACAATATCTCGCAAGTACTTTCTCGCTATAGCTTCCCCTAAGCCACCAGGTGGTCCAGCACCCTCGCAATCCCATTTGCCTTCAACATACTCGAGAACTGAATTGAGAAAATTATAGATAGATTATAAATTCCATTACATAAAATCACTAAAAGAATGAAAAAAAATCCAGATACCATTTAGAATCCTGCAGATATAAATTCAGGTATGGAGTGCGATAAAATGAAGTAAAACAAAAAGGCAGTGCAGTAATACCCATATAGAAATGATCTGTGTCTGGGTCATTTATCACCTCAATAAGATTAACTATGTTGGGATGGCTCACTATTTTCATTATCAGTACCTGCAAGTAATTAAATATAAAATTCAAACATTGCAATGAACGGCTGATATGCACTAGCGAACAATTTTTACAGTAAAAACTGCCAGGATAAACTT